TATAAAGTATACTTAATTATTATTCATATAATTAATCGTTTGAAGTATACAGAGAAAAGTAAAACCACAAAGACCAATAATAGGTCTCTAAGGTCCCTTAAATTACATGCATTACACACTATTGTATATTATAATTGTAGTATTTTTAGAGATTGCAATCAACAAGAAATCTTCCGGTAGTTGTTTTTCGATCATATCGTTACCAGATTGTCTTGTTATATTAAACAATACAACTGAACTGTTTCATACCAAAACTAATTTTACATTAGTTAAACATATATTACACTGGACGTACATATATTGATCTGGCGGTTTTTAGGTAATTTTTAAATTTGTTACACATTTTGTTTTTCAATGTTTATTTTCTGCTCTGTTTCTATATAGGTACAAACTTTAAGTATTATAAATTCCCACTCCTATATTCGCAAAATTTCTTAAAAATGTGTGCGAAGTAGGTACGTCGATATACGATGATGAAAATTACGGGATAGTTTAAAACATAATACAATAACAGTTATTTAAGTTGTGATATTTTTTTCTCACTTTTTCTGCTCTATTTTTTTTTAAATAGGTACAAACTTTTTTTAAACAAAATTTCTTAAAAAATGTGTGCAATGTAGGAGTACGTACGTAAAGTTAAATATCTTTACCTGAAAAAATAAACATTTTTGGTTAATTCATGCAACGATACCTACTCGTATAGTTGCAATTAAATTTGTAAGGATTCTTTTCTAACACAAATTATTTAATACAAAAATTGTTGAAAAAAACACTTCACACTATCCTTTTTAGTAAGTTCCCACAATCATTGTTACTCAATCATAACGGATCAGTAATAATTTTAAAAACTATGTGAATGAAACCGTGGATGATAGCACAATTAATTACTGGTTTCTTGTATTGACTTAACAAAACTGAGCAAAGCTTTTGTATTCTAGCAATACTAGCGGGGCATGTCATAGCATTTCCACGTTCAAATTTTACGACTGCATACATATTCTCTACCAGTTGCGTTGTATTAATACCGGTATGGTTCAACTTGCCTACAATGTATTGATGTTAAGTAGCTGATTCTCATAAAAGTCATTCAATGACCGTAAATATAAATGTCCGTCTGACACTTAAGTAGTACAGGCTGCAGTAATAAAGATAGTGCCTAGATATTTGCTGGGTTATAATTCATTATGGGATTAAATGCTGTTTTATTATTTTGCTGCATAAGTTTCCTATATCTTGTGTGGGTGTCAGTGTGTTTAGACACATTATATGTTTTACATACAAATCCATCTATTATTTTAGTTTTATATCTATTTTGAATTACTAATAAGTATAGGCATATATTATCTTTCATACTTCAATATTTATTTTATATTTACTTATAAAGGAAAGGCCATTAATTTTAGATAGTAGTCTAATTATATGAATAATTTTACATTAACACAGGTACTTTAATGTATATTAGTTACAAACACAGATTTGTTTTAAGTCAGTGTTACATCAAATCTTTTAGAAATGAGATTTAAAATAAAGTAACAATTTTATTTTTATTGATGTAGATTCTTTGAAAAGGAGAAAGATTTATCACTAACTTTGACTTCATATTTTTTGTACTTTAAACAAACATCTATTGAAAGCAAATTAATCTGTTTTATGCTCAAAGTAACTGAAAAACTATAACCAACTTACGATGATGACAATAACGGGATAGTTTATAACATAATACAATAACAGTTATTTAAGTTGCGATATTTTTTGTCTCACTTTTTCTCATTTATTAATATGATAAAACATAATATTCAAGGAAATTACGTTATTAAGTTATTAGTATTGCAGAACCTAGTCTCGAAGTTGATAATAGGTATTAAAATGCAATTATAGTCAATATTGTTGTTGTATTGTCTTAAGTAAAAATGTGGTGTGGGCTAGTGTGTTTTTTATTATTATTATTTTTCTATTTTTTATGTTTCATCATTCATCATCGTCATTTTCTCTTTTATTCGATTTTTTTATCTTCTTTTCTCGTCATTGTATTTTTACCTTTTAGTCCTTAATGACGGACCTTAATGTTGTGATATATTTAATAATACCATTGTATCTATCTGTAAATTGCAAAAGAGTGTCTCCTTGGTGATGGGCGGTTGTACATCGGAATAGGCATATCATAGGTTTTGTATAAGTTTAGTTTAATTTTCTTAGTATTTGACAAAACAGAGATTGTTGCTATTGTGTGTGTGTTGATCTATGACTTTAGAGTCTACATAAAAGACGATTTCAAACAATTAAAAAAAAAGAGAAATAAAGAGAGTTTGAGTTTGTACGGTGTCAGAGATTTTACAACGGTAGTCATATAGAGCCTATGCTGTCAGCGTATTCTTGTATTTAAATTAGTAACTAAATGGATACGAACCCTTACTATTATGACCTCTTTATTTAAATATATGTGTGATTAAACATTTTTTGTTAATAAATAAAACTGAAATCGATCTGCCACTGAATATATTTGTCATGAAGTCGTTTGCGATATGAAAACTGACTTGACATAAAAAAAAACATTCACTACATTCAGAGAGCGTTGTATCTGAACACATCTATTCCCAATGCGAGAAATTTAAATATTCAAGGAGATTGCTTTAAAGATTCCTTTTAAAAGCTTTATGTTATTGAAATGACCGGTATTACATCCCAGCCTCCATTACTAACTGCACTGTGTCCACATAAATATTCATATCTCTAAATTCTCGAACCCAAAGAGAGATAAAAGTAGTTTTACTGCTCCGGTGCAAGTAAGATGGTAGAAATTCGATCAGGCGGCTTGAGTGCGAGCAGGATCGAAAGTAATGATACGGAGGCGTGAGAAGGATAGCAACAAAGTCAGAGGCTTTTACGGTAGACCGGACAGCGTGCAGTGAAATGCGGACTCGGTACACCTTTTTCGATCTCGCTCCAAGAAATTGAATTTGAGATTAATCTTTTGTAGTTGCTATAAGTGACGGCTAGATTTTTCTTATTGATGCTGGTAGACCTATATGTACCTATTTCATGATGTACTAATAAAAATAGTTTTGTGCGTAGATTTATATATAACGTTAACATAATGTAAAATGTATATAGATAAACGTGTTAAGTAAATATAATTATAAATAAAAGAATCATTTTGTTAGTTCACTCTAAGAAGTCGAAATATCATCTAGTCGAGAAATAGTTAACTTTTTTGATTTCTGTTTTAAACAATAATTCATTCATGGTTTTTCTCATCAGTTTACAATATTTATCGAAACTCCATAAGTTTATATGTACATGCGCATACATGTGACACTACAGGAGATTACATTAAACAGCACATTGAAGAGAACCTCGTCTCGTACTTGGATCGTAAACAGGGGAATAATAACAGAACATAAATTGTAACTGCTAGACACAAGAATATAAAATATACAGAGGCCGGAAACTTTATGAAAACACACGCAGCAACTCTCAGTTTTATTGTCAAGCATGTTGCTCGTCTCAAATGGAAATAGGCGGCCCTCGTAAATCTCTGAATAGCAATCTTTGAGGGTTTATTAGACCTGTACTTATATTAGGAACAGGGTGTCAGTATACAAATATTAATTTTACACTAGTGTTTTAATAAAGTGTTACATTTTATAAGCATAATTTTTTAGAAATAATTAACCTTTTTTTTTTTCACTAATATTGTTAATGCATGTGCTTGTGAAAAGGGACTTGGTTTGTTACGTTTTCAAACTAAAGGCGCTCTAATGTCTGTTATGAAATATTAGAGATAAATATGTATATATATATAAAATCATAGGATACCTTTAAATCCGGCAAAAGTAATATTTAGTTTGATATCCGACTTTATCGATAACCGCAATCGAAGCAAATATAATATACTAGCTGCCCGCAGCTCCGCCGGCGTGTATGTCTGTTATCGTGATAAAAAGAAGCCTCTGTCCTTTACCGGAACTCAAACTATCTCTATACCAAATTTAATCCAAATCGGTCCCGCTGTTTAAGCGTGAAAAGGTAACAGACAGACAGCCTCACATATTATTAGTATGGATCCGGATACCAATAGCATTAAAAAAGGTGCATGAGATATCAATTTCGTTACTTTGTAAAGACACTAAAATCACAAGAATTTAGAATGAAATTAAATTTTAATTAAAAAAATAAAACAATAATGCCATAAAATATTTAGCATTAACAACAATATAAACATCGTAATATGTAAGATTTATACAATTAGAAAATTATATTGACTTCATTGAACATATATAGCGGTCCATATAGAATATTCAAACGCAATAATAATAAATTCAAACGTATATTACTTAAATTTATAGTGAAATAAAATAAAAGAACAGTCAGTAATATATCAGTTATAGACACTAATATTCCGATACTATAACAAAACCCGATGCTCATTAGCATTTTCTGATATCACCAGAAGCTTATAACTTATACAAAACTATAAATTGATGAATGATACATGAGACATGAAACAAAACGTTTTGTAATACGGATTATCTTTTATCGTTTCTTTAAAATTATACTAAAGTACGAGTAATTCAGAACATTGCATTTATTTTATAAAAAAATCTACTATTATCTTTTGTAGGAAGTACTATTCAGCGAAAATCGTGCATTAAATATGCTACTAGAATTCTTTCCCCATTGAGATAAAGTTCAAATTTGTGCGTAAGTTGCAGTGTTACAATACCTCGGACACCATACCTCCATCGGTCATACAGTGCAACCGGTTTCTCTCAGAAACAAACATCTTCACAAGGCTAGTGGCCTCCGTATGCGTTTTTCACTCCGTTTTACTCAGAAGTGCATTGAGTTTTCAGCTTTAATATTTACAATAGAATGTTTTCCATTATCTGTATGTCACTTATATGAGAATAGTCACATGAATTCGTACGTAACCTCACAAGTAAATATTAATAATAAACAGTTGCTAAACAAATAGAAAATTTATGAGATGCAAAGGAAATATGGAAACCAATGATCTGATTTCAATTGCTGGTGAGAATTTATGTTAATACTCGTAAATTAAAACAATTCAGGGCTGCTTAATTAAGCATAATTCTCGATCCATAAATCTCAATGTCCATCACTCGGTTGATGGTAACGGAAATAAGAACCATTATCGACGATTCAATCTTCTGATATATAGAGATAAGAAAGGGTGTTTATTTAGAAAGATATCCCCTGCAGTTAATTTACTGAGACCGAAGACTGTAAAGTTTTTATCAGTTGCATGTTTGTCTTCATTACTGACTTCATTAAGTAGGTTTGAATATAATTAACTTCACATAAAACTAATCAGACATATCTTCAAAGCATTTTCGTTTACATAAATACACCATAAATACTTTGAAAGTGACGCGATGACGTGAATATTGTTCTATGTATAACGCATGTTAGAAATTATTTTACTCAGTTTTCTTTTTAATTACAGATGTCCTTAAAACCGTGATGTCGGACAACAGCGGCACAGTAGTATCCAGGGCGTCTACACCTCGCCCAGTTAACGACGCACCAGTGAGCACACCCCTGAGGTCCAGACATGACCAGTTTCTCGCCAGCTCTGCAGAAAGAGCTCAACAACGTCCTTCATCAAGTGGTAGGAATCCAAGTGGGAACTTTGAGTCACCACCTTTACCGTACCACCGGCAAATAACTACGGGATCTTTATTAACATCATCCCATCGGGAGTCGTCAGCATTCGTTCCTGTTGTCCCGACTCGTACTATGCACCCAGTGATTTATCCTAACGAAATGCACCCAGCCCTAATTCCTCCAGAGATTATTGAGCGAGACAGAATGATGGACAGAGACAGGGCTGAACCTGCAAAAGGTTCACCTGATAGAGCCTCCGCAAACTTTCCTAAGAGAAACTCTTTTGATTTAATGGCTATGATGGTTGAAAAGAGAAAGGAAGTCGCATTGAGAGAAGCTGCAGCAGCTATGTTAATGCCTCATCATAGAACGTCTTCTATTGAAGGTATGATGTCAGATGGATCCTCACAACCTCCAATATACGGCCCACCTGGACCTTTCTTAGGTGCACCAGGGCCATCACCAACAGCAGCAGGTAGTTTTACATTTCCCGGAGCTGGACTATTTCCACCGGGTGCTGGGCCACACCAAATGCATCCACACTTAGACAGACGGCTTCTAAGAGCACCAGGAAGAGCTTCTAGGCCGAAGAAACAATTTATATGTAAATTCTGCAACCGGCAATTCACCAAGTCGTACAACCTGCTAATACATGAAAGAACTCACACCGACGAGCGGCCATACTCCTGTGACATTTGCGGCAAAGCTTTCAGAAGACAAGACCACTTGAGAGACCACAGGTATGTAAAATTAGTTTAATTAGCCAGTCATAATTTAAGATTATGTTTAATACGAGTAAATCGTCGATAAGTCGCTGCCTGCCTTGTTAAATTTTTAACAAGGTTAATCGTAGTTTGTTATAGATCTCATTTGTATTTATGAAACAGGCAGCCGGTGTAACTCAAGTTGCAGATGTTAAGCCGACTGTAGCCGTATCCGCCCGGCTACTTGGAAACGGAATATTTATAAAGTTTCTCGATCGTAGCTAGCTCCAGCTTCTTAGAAATCTTTATATCTTGATTAATAAGTAAAAGGTGATTATACTTTCAAAAGCAAAAGCTCGTGTACGTTTATGACGAAAAATCTCGGCTGACGACCGTTCAAACGAATGCCATTTGTTAAGTAATAGCTACAGAAGTGGTCGGTGATCGGTCGTGATTGTACTTTTAGATAACGGACAAATAATATATAGCTGTCTCAAACGCCACATGACAGACGAGCTGACGGATTTTATTAGAGTATTCATGCATTAGTAATAACAAAGGTTAATTCATAAAAAATCTCTTAGCAATAACATGCAAAAACCCTTTCGGACATATAAAAATAAAAAATGTAAGTCCAATATTTATGACCTCGATTTTCATAATTAATATTATTATGTGGATACATAATTTATATTTAAACCATGATAGGTGAAGATGATATAAGAATTTTTATGTCCTTACTCACACAGAGACACGTTACAAAGAAGTCTGTAATCGGATTTAAATATTTTGAACGTCAATCCTATGTATTGGTAATATATAACTCATTAAAGCGTTTGGTGTGAGGGTCGATGGCTTACGAAACGAATCGAGTAATTTTATAGTGAGTTATAAAAACTGAACAGGCGTTGGACTTGATTGGACTCTGCTACCAAATGTTCATATTTCAATACTTGTAAAACTTTTTGTAGTTTTTGTATGCGTGAGAGTACGCTTTTTCTCAGAGGTCTGTTGATATATAAAAACTTGATAATTCGAATTGTTAACTAACTATTTTATTATCGCAAAAAATACTTTAATAAAGTTGAGCGACCAATTATTACAATTACAATACAACTATACGTTATTATACGTACGTATTACGTTACTATACGTACGTTTTTTTTTGGTATACGATGTTTTACATCAAATAAAGTTTTTCAAACCCTCAAACTTGAAACAAACCCTATACCAACCCGTCTGGCCAGCGTGGTATAGTAGGCCAAAACCTCCTTTCTAAGGAGAGGCCTATGTCCAGCAGTGGACTAGTATAGGCTGTTGATGATGAAAGTTTTTCAAGTAATTAAATCATGTTACTATTACTCCAAAGAGAAAACTTACGATTATGTCAAGTTAATAGTTAAACTTTCTTTTTTAATACACAAAAGAAAAGCGATCTATCCAATAGGTAATGGTGTTATGCAATAATTGAACAAGCCGATACTTGATTTTAAAATTTGGCTATTATCAACAGTTATAATTGAAAAGTCAATGTTTTGCTTAATCACTTTATCTACATCTATTCTAAGTACTTCCATTATTATAAATTTAATGCCATTTATTTTAATTTGTAAACTTTGCATAAAATTTATTAAAAAAATTAAAAGTTCTAGTCTTTAGCAAGAACTAAAAAAAACACTTCTCTATAGTCTCTTCGTGAAAAATATAAAACAGTTTAAATTCAAGCCAATAACAATTTTGATGGCTTTAAAAGTAGCTTGAATTTGACGCTATAACCCTAAATGACTACATACTTTATTTGTCAGTTTCTGGTGAGTGCGACATACAGTACCTATCTACCACTACTGACAAAACATTACGGCAAAAATTGATTAGGATTTTAAGATCTAGGAATAAAACAATCCTTAGAAATCCGTATAACTTGTACATTGATCATATATTTTTTATGTAACAACCTAGATAAAACAGAAATAAAAAGTGAGCCTAACTAAGCGTAATTCGTAACTAAACGAATTTTTATGTTTTTCACTATGCGTGTCAATTTCCTAACCAATCATTATATCTCCTTATCGAATATTTTAATATTCAATTTAAATATCGATTTCTTTCGTTACGTAGCGTATTTTAATAGTCTTGACATTTTTGGGTGCCATACCAATTAGCAGCGATAAATAACGTTGAAGCTCAGTTATTAAAATTTGCAAAAGTGCATATTAAAATCCAATATCGAATGTTTATCAATAACAGACTTTTATACATTTTTTCAAAACTACTGCGTCTAGTTTCGGAACTAGTTTTCAAAGAGTTGTCTTATCCATTTCGAAGTTACTTAAAAAAAATTGGACCAAGCAGCTTTTCAAGGTGCACTTAGCTTGTCCGATGTACAGCTATTACCCTTGATCGTGTATAAACAATGCTAACAGTAGTATTATTGCTTACTCCACTTGGAAACACTCCTTATACTAGTAATGTTAATTAATTTAGAGGTACTTTTTAGATTTGGGGTCTTCGATTCGAGTGGTAGTTTACTCTTGCACTAACTCGTAATGGGGAAGAGTTACGTGATAGTATATTGCCAATTTTATTACAAATTAAAAAGTGAAAATAAGTAAAATTTTATTAAAAAGTGTTTAAGTACATATCATTTGGCTCACAGAACAAAGATTCCTGTTTCTGTGATTTTGCTTTTACGCTTAAAAATACCGAATAGGGTTAAATTTAAACTTTAATGTTAACATATTGTGTCATGGTACAAAATAAAATAAAACCTCGAGCATTATTATGTAGTATGAGGGAACTTCTATTCTATATGGCCTCGACGAGGGGGGTGGGGGGGGGTACCCGGGTACCTTCGTTAGTTCACGTTAACATGTATAATGGTATATCATAGAACGTGGAAGTCTAAAAGTTTTTATCAAAAAGATATTATTTATCTAATAGCAAAAACAAACATTTTTCTCTTAAGCGTTCGAGGTAATACTTAAAACTATTAAAGATGCACAGGCTCTACCTAGTTTGGGATCAGACGGCCGTGTGTGAAAATGTGTGCAAAAATATTATTTATCCGAATAATATTGAATTGAAAATAGTGAATATAAACGCCAATTAACTTCAACTCTAAAGTGCGACCATTTCTTTTGAATCAAAATTAATAAGATCTATTTTATTATTTTTTTATCTGTTTTGCTTTTTTTATTTATGTAGTATTGTTTTATATTTGTATTCAGTACTTTTTTTGAAATTTTTGTGTCGATCTAGACTAACCCTTAGCATTCATTATAAACTTTCGTGGCTTAGGAAATGCTATGTATATTAAAATTATCTTATTAATATGTTTACACTTTGAAAGAAAAAAAAAATAGAGTGTTCTTTAGACCACACGACTGAAGTAGAACTTTTTGGCTATGAGACAAAAGAGAGGAAGAAAATGTGTGCTCACACCTCTCTCTCTCTTGCCCCAACAATAATATACGAAACGTAACTCTCTCTCTTTCTATCTTCGCTAACTTATGTCTCCCTCTCAACTTCTATTCGCCTAACCCGATCACACTTTTCGTAACGCTCTCGTCAGGTATTCCCCAAGTCAAGCGTGAGTAAAGAAGTTTTACTTCAATAATATTTTATTAGCGACAACCATTCAAAATATAATACATAAAAGTCTTCAAAATTATATAAATAGCGCTCATACTAAATACAGAAACTTGACCTTTAATTTATGTAATAATTTATGCTAATCGTTCACACTATCGTTATTAAAGTGAGAAAGCACAACACAAGAAGTGGTCGTGCCATATTTGGACTCTAGAATAGTAGTTGTATTCTACTTTTTTATAAATAAAGGGATTAACCTGAAAATTATTGTGATATCTCTCGCACACTATGCAATTCTCCTTATTCTTGGTTTTCATGTAGAACTCAAAAACTACATAGTAATAAGGTCGGACTCTAAATATACGGGTCATAAACATCGTTAAAGCAGTGAATACACTGGAACACAGCATGCTTAAACGACAGTGAGGAAAAGTTCCCGCCTATAGCCAGCTAAATTAATAATAGTTTAAACTATAAACAAAGCAGGTCTTAGCCACTAGTTTCTATCAAATAGTCTTGTCAATGCCGGTGCCATCGGATATAAAAGCATTGCATATGCTGACGCTTAAAGAAAAACAGCCGGCATTGTCCCTAAGGAGCTTTGGCAAACTCTAAAACGCAACGTCATGCAATGTAAATTACTCCCCTTAACGCCGAAACTTTGGATATTTATATACCCTATTCCTTTTTAAATATTACCAAGAAAAACTTTGATACACCGAATTCATTTTACTTCTTAATAAACTTTATTAAAATTTACAACCGTACTACCATACTATTTAATTACTTTATTTCGTTTAATATGTTATTTTATTGATCATTAGCAAGCTACTGATAGCACATAAATTAAATAGTATGTCTGTTTTATTATCCCTTCCTTCTCATATTTCAAATGGTTACTTTAATTTTACAGAAATTCGCGTTGCTATAAATATTTGGCAATTTAAAAAAAATGTCCTCTACGAATAGTCCGGTATTTTATCTCTAATTCTTATTTATTCCATCATAATAAAAAAATTAGGAGTACATTCACTTTAAATCTAATTAGAAAAAAAAACTCGTGCTTCACTTTTGAGTTAGAGATTTTTTACCGTCTGTTATTTATCACTTGTATAAATATTAGTTTTACAAGAGTTTAATTAAACTAACATTTAGATATTACTAATAAAAGGTATCCATAGAAACAAATTATTCATTCAATTCTTTTCATAGATTACAAGAATAAAAGTTGTCGAATACTTTTAATTTTTTAAATTAAACTACAAAACTAAACAAAAGATGTTATAGAAATTATAACAAATCTAAATAGATAGATCGAAATGACTATAAAATAACAAAATCAATGTCTCCTTCAGAAATAAATCACAAGCGTAGTTATAACCTAACCAATCATTCCAACGTATTTAATGTTGTATATTGTACATTAGTACAAAACTTTGTTAAAA